AAGTTAAAAGGAGGGATACAAGTGACTTTTCCTTCGCCCCTTAAACACACAGCTGGATTTGTAAGTGGGGTATGCAGCCCCCTAACTGGAGCCATGTTGATGCTTTGTCTCAAACAAAATCTCTCAGAAAGCGTGGGGTCTTCAGTCTTTTGAGGGGAAGGAAAAGATTTGTGCCAGGGGAACGAAGCAACGAACTTGGCCTTAGTATTAGGAAGAAAACGGAGAAAAGGTTTTGAATGCTGAGTGAACAGAACGGGCAGCCGGGATCTGCTGCTTGGGCATATTCAGGGTGCAGGGATTGCTGGGGAGAGGATCTCAAAATTGCTTCAACTCAATGCAAAAGTTGCAAACAGCATGAAGAATTCCAGCTGTGCCTAGTTCATGCAAATGCCAACACTCCCCACGTTTGCCTGATTACTCTCTTTCTGTATGTGTCAACACCTGCACCTTACCCCCCCCCCTCCCCAGCCGCTGACATCACCAGTGTCAGGACACTAACAGGTAGAGTGCTAATCTCTTGTATAAATCTAGAGCCCCCCCTCCCCCCCCCCCCCAGCTCACCCGTGCTTTTAGCAGCCAGTCCAGGCTCGCGCTTTGCTTTGGCCATCTAGTCTCTTCAGATTCCTTTCCCCTGCCAGCCATTCTCTGGCAATCTTTGTTATTGTTGTTGTTGTAGGTGGTGTGTGTGTGTGTGTTTGTGTGTGTGCTCACATGTGCGTGTGTGTTAAGAATGTATGCCTTCCCACACTTCTGTGTAAGTGTGCAGAGGTTAGAAGTCAGTGTCACATAATCTCATTTATCACTCATCACCTTAGTTTTGAGACAGGGCCTCTCACTGGCTGTTGCTGGAAGCTCCAGGGATCTGTCCCTTTCCACACCAGTGCTGAGATTACAGGCATACAGTGCCCATGACGGCTGCTATGTATGAACTGGGGATCTGAACTCAGATCCTGCACAGCAAGTACATTACCCACTGAGCCATCCCCCTAGTTAAGATGCTGGCAGCTGTGAAGGTGCTGTCCTATGCCCTTCAGTGTATGGTCTGAAGGACGCAGAGAGGAGAAGCAGCTTTTGATAGGGTTATATTGGCTAATGCTAGACCAGGCTCCTGGCCAGGACTCTTTCTTCCGTGGTTTCAGCATCCCCCCCCCCACTCCCCTGCCCAGCATAGACCTTACCTTTACTGGGAAAGCGTAGCATTGGGTACCGTGACTGCTGCATCTAAAGAGTCACCTGTAGTTTGATGGGTTTGTGCCTAAAGGATTATGGGTGGGAACAGTTAGCAGCGCTGTCTAGCACGCACAGAGTCCCAGGTTCAATCAAGCACTGGATAAACTGTACAGGTGTGGTGGCATATACACACCTATGCTCCCAGAACTCAGGAGGATCAGAGTTCAAGGTCATCCTCAGCTACACAGAGAGCTGGAGCCCAGTCTGGGTTAAAGATCCTACCTCAAGACAGACAGATTATCTGTTCTTATGGTGAATCATTCAGGGGTAGAAAATGAAGGTGTTAAATCCCTCAGTTTTTTCAGTTGAAACAATTGAGGGTCAGAGTATAGAGGGCTTAGGAGGCTGGGGTCTGTGGAGGACATCTGCTTCACATGATCTAGAATTCTGCTGGACTGGGCAGGGCCTCGGTTGGTTGTATTTATGGAATCTGATTATGTAAACCTTTAATCCAAGCTCCGTTGAACAGTGGCAAGGATTTTAAGGGAGCACCCAAGGTCTCTGTACTTGGAAATTGCAAGAAGCTCACAAATGTCTGCAGCTGGGCTGCCCTTCAAGATAAATAAGCATCATAGTTGTGTGTTCTCCAGTTTGGCAGGCTCCTGACTAAGCATCTCTGTGTGTTCCAATACCAATCCCAGCATAGACCTCTTCCTTGGTAGGAATTAAAACTTCAAGATGCTTGTAAGGCAAGTTAGACCTTCTTAATTTCAAAACCGTGAGACAGGAAATACACACACATCTCCCAGGTGAGAGAACAGAAAGGGGCTGGCTGCCCTATGCTCACACCTGGACACACCACCCTGTGATCACACCTGAACATACCACCCTGTGACCACACCTGGACACACCCCCCTGTGACCACACCTAGACACACCACCCTGTGACCACACCTGGACACACCACCCTGTGATCACACCTGGACACACCACCCTGTGATCACACCTGGACACACCACCCTGTGACCACACCTAGACACACCACCCTGTGCTCACACCTGGACACACAACCCTGTGACCACACCTGGACACACCACCCTGTGATCACACCTAGACACACCACCCTATGTTCACACCTGGACACACCACTCTGTGATCACACCTGGACACACCACCCTATGATCACACCTGGCCACACCACCCTGTAACCACACCTAGACACACCACCCTGTGACCACACCTGGACACACCACCCTGTGACTACATCTGGACACACCATCCTGTGATCACACCTGGACACACCACACCACCCTATGATCACACCTGGACACACCACACCACCCTGTGACCACACCTGGACACACCACACCACCCTGTGACCACACCTGGACACACCACCCTGTTACCACACCTGGACACACCACCCTGTTACCACACCTGGACACACCACCCTGTGACCACACCTGGACACACCACCCTGTTACCACACCTGGACACACCACCCTGTGACCACACCTGGACACACCACCCTGTGACCACACCTGGACACACCACCCTGGGACCACACCTGGACACATCACTCTGTGATCACACCTGGACACACCACCCTATGCTCACACCTGGACATACCATCCTGTGACCACACCTGGCCACAATGAATAAACCCTCTTCTGCTTTTCACTGACTGGTCTCTTTACAGAAGGCCATGAGCAGCTTGTTTGAGTGGCCAGGGTCCAGTTCTGGTAACAGCTTTAGTATCCTGATTGTTGTGTTAAGATCATAGAAGTCACCCTGTGGCTGGATAAAAGCTTTCTTTTTGTTATTGGAGTTCATGTGTTTGGGTGTTTTGCCTGCGTGTGTGCATGCCATGTGCATGCCTGATGCCCATGGAGATCAGGAGAGTGTCTTGGGTCCCTGAACCTGGAGTTAAGGATGACTGTGAATGACAGCGTGGTTGCTGGGACCAAACCCACACCTCTGCTAGAGCAGACATTGCTCTTAGTTGCTGAGCTATTTTCACAACCACTGATGAAGTGTTTTATAATTATACATTCCCACGATGGACCACCCTAGTGTGGAAAATGGGGAGAGAGTCCCATTTTTCTCAGTCAAAATGATTGTAGACCAAGGCTGGTAAAGTTTAAGTTCAGGAGAGTCTGTGATCGAGTTTGCCTGCTTCTTACAACCTAGAAGTCGGCTGGGCCAGGCCTGCTGGCTTAGAACTCATCAGCTGTGACCTCCTTCTGCAGCTTACTGGCTCCTGCTGTCCCTGTGACCCTTAGAGCATCTGATAACAATTCCACAGCATTTATACACGAGTAACCAAGGACTTGGCCTGCTTAAAACAAACCTGGATTTTGTTACTGTTCTGATAGGAGGAAGCCAAGGTGATGTAGGCAGACATAATATTCATAGTTCCCAGGAGCAGGGGAATCATGGGATAGCTCCTTCTCAAGGGAGGCACTAGCCTCCTGAGGGACAAATGAAAACCAGGTGTCAGAGCCTCCATTAATAATAATAATAATAATAATAATAATAATAATAATAATATTATTATTATTATTATTATTATTCCTACATTTTGAATCTTCCTAGGGGCCCAAGTTCATTGAAAAACAGAGTACATCATTTCCCCTTATAATCAACCCACTTTTCTTCAGGAAGATTTAGTCTTTGCATAAGGCAACTACAGTCTCACAAGTGAATAACCCACTAAATTATAGACTTTGAGTAAGCTGGGAATTCCACAACCACAGTGCCTTCCCAGTAGGGAGGATACGGAGAAGTGGTTTTTCTTTGTGCCTCGGTTTACCTGTCACCACATGGAGTTTTCCATTGACACCCACGTGCCCAGCAGCCACACATGGAGTAGTCTTGGCACTCACCAACACTCCTGCTTACCTGATGCTAACCAGTCATCAATGTGCGGTTAAACTTGATGTCGCCAAGAGGAAGTTGAAGGATTCTGAGGCTAAGGGATGCATATGGCCACACACAAAATAAAACATGTGAACAAATCATCTAAAGAATTCTGAATTAGGGCCTGGAGAGATGGCTCAGAGGTTAAGAGCACTGACCGCTCTTCCAGGGGTCCTGAGTTCAATTCCCAGCAACCGCATGGTGGCTCACATCCATCTGGTAGTGAGATCTGGTGCCCTCTTCTTTGAACACTGTATACATAATAAATAAATAAATCTTTTAAAAAATTCTGAATTAACTGGAAGTTTACATTCAGGCATCATTCCTGTTTTTTGTTTTTTTTTTTTTTTAAAGCTTGCGCCACATTTCATTTTTTCATTCATTCATTCATTCACCCATTCAATTAACAAATATTTGTTGGAAGTTCCTGTGGCCAACACTGAGCTAGAACTTGGAGATCAGAGTGTCTGCCAAGCTCAGTCTTTACTCTAGTAATAATAGTAAATGAACCACACCCAAACAATAATAAATTCGGAGAAGAGGCACTAGCTGAGGCGTAAGGAACTTCCTAAACAGCTCCGGGGAAGTTCTTCCCTGACAAAGAGGCCTCAGGCCAAACTCAGGCCCGCACGCCTGCACAGCAGCTGCTCTACCTACTATCTTCCCAGCCTGGACGCAGGGCTTTTTACTTAAATTAACTGGTGGGTGTCATTAGTTCCTTATAGTGATAAGATAGCATACACATTAGCATGAGCTTTTACCACCACATCCTTCCTCTGTCCCCAGACTTTCAGAGTGTCTAGATCTGTCACAGTCCATCTCAGGCCTGGGAGAGGGAGCCTCCGTGTGAAACACACTTGACGGAACTTCAGCCAGGCACAGCACAGCACACTAACTGACCAGTGTGTGCCACCACCTCATTCCTAGGGACTACGAAGGAACCAGATGAGAGTAAAGACAAGTTGGGAACAGAGTCCTGGTCGCCAGATGCATGCGGATGAACATACAGGTATGGGTCTGCAGCAAATGCTTGCACAAATGATTGAAGGTATTCAGGATGTCACAGAAGAATGTAAAAGCAGCAAGAGACTAAGTACAAGCACCTTCTATAAGGTGCTCCCTCCCTCCCTCCCTTCCTCCCTGCCCTTCCTTTCCCTTCTCTTGTGATAGGATCTCACTATGAAGCCCTTGCTAGCCTGGAACTCAAGATGTACACCAGGCTGGCCTCAAACTCACAGAGATCCACCTGCCTCTGTCTCCTGGGTGCTGGGATTAAAGATGTGAGCTATCATGGCCAGCTTGAACACTTTTTATAGAATGTCAGTTCTATCCGGGAGAACATAAAAAATCTGAGAACAAATTCTCTGTGTTAGAGAGAGCATGACCCAAGCCACCATTTGTCCACTCACAGCCCTGTGCACCACAGACAATAGCCATTCTTCCCCGACCCTCCAATCGTACTCAGAGGGTCCATCCTTGTCCGTCTGAGCTGGGTCTTCCCAGTCCTGCTAGAAGAAAGCTTTCTGCATCTCTGCAGTGGGGCTATTTTGTCCTTCACACCCCCCCAGCTTTGAGATCCCGGTCAGCATCACTCTTGCCTTCGCTCTAGTTAAGCCAGGAGCAGTCAAGCTTGTGCTCTGTTCCCAATGCACACTCATCCTTCTCCACTGATGGTTTTTGAGCAGGATTCCCCACTCTCTTTCTGCTCCAACTCCATCCAAGGATTCGGCCCTCTAGTGTTTTATCCACGCTGTCTCATCCGTCCATTGCCACGCCGTGGACCGTGTCAGCATTTTATCACATCAACCAACTGCAAGCAGCATCTCATTCACAGCCGCTCTTTCTTGCAAATTGTTCTGTTAAGCATCTCACTGCAACCATTCTTCCTAAGGTGTATCTAGTCTGCATGCTGTGCACTCCTCTGTCTGTGAGTCTATATGTCTGTCCATCGGTCACTCTTTTCTAGCTCCTGTGATGTTCGCCCCCATTCCTGACTGATTCTAAAGTCTATAATTGCAGTCTTGCAAATTCACCGGCAAAGCTCAGCCCAGACAAAACTGTCCCCTCATGTACACGTCCTGCCTACTCAGAAGAGCTGGACGCAAGCACGACGTCACAGGCTGAGGCTGGGGTCCAGGGTCCCTCTAGAGCTCGAAAGCTGCTGGTGGCCTGCTGTCTACATCGCTAGGGTCTCTTTCACCACTCTAGCCTCAAGTCCTTCCCTTTCTTGTCCTCACCTGATGCTCTGGTTTCCCACTTGGTTGGACAAATGGGACTGAGTGGATGAGAATTTCATCCGGTCCCGTTATCCTTTCTCATTTCATTAAAAGAGAGCGTGTGTATGTATGCGCACGTACATGCATGTGTATATGTGTGTGTGTGTGTATGTGCACTTGTGTGCATGCCTATGTGTGTGTGTCTGTGCCCGTGTGTGCATGCCTGTGCATGTGTGTGTGTGTGTGCCCGTGTGTGCATGCCTATGTGTGTGTGTCTGTGCCCGTGTGTGCATGCCTGTTCATGTATGTGTGTGTATATGTGCACTTGTGTGCATGCCTATGTGTGTGTATGTGCCCGTGTGTGCATGCCTGTGCATGTGTGTGTGTATGTATGTGCACGTGTGTGCATGCCTGTGCATGTGTGTGTGTGTGCCCGTGTGTGCATGCCTGTGCATGTGTGTGTGTGTATGTGCATGTGTGTGCATGCCTGTGCATGTGTGTGTGTATGTTCCCGTGTGTGCATGCCTATGTGTGTGTATGTTCCCGTGTGTGCATGCCTGTGCATGTATGTGTGTGTGTATGTGCACATGTGTGCATGCCTGTGCATGTATGTGTGTGTGTGTGTGTGTGTGCACGCACAGATGTGCTTGTGCACATGTAATGCCCTCAGAGGTGAGAAGAGGGCATTAGATCTCCTGGGGTGAAGTTACAGGAGGTTCCGAACCTCCTGTGTGGGTGCTGGGAACTGAACTCCGGTTCCCTGGAGCCCTAGAGCTTTGATCCTTGAGTCATTGCTCTACCTTTGCCCCCCCCCTTCTCTGACAAAGGCAGTATATTCAGGCTCCCCCTTCCCATGTGATCTACAGTCTCCTGACTTGAGTTTTCCCTCTGGAATATTAACTTTCTTCTGCTTGTCTTACCATCTTCCTCTCTGTGGACATTTCCCACAAACACATGTGCATAGCCTCATCTCTCTCATTATGCCAACTAAACAAATCAACAGGCCAGCACTCACCCAGACATTGGCACCTCCCCCAAAGGCCTCTGTAAGCCACACACCCCTCCAGGAACCACACTCTGTCCCCTCCGTTCTCCAACTCCTGGCCTTATATTTTCTCTGTACAAACCCTTAGCTAAAATCCTCTCCCCAAACCCTCACCTCTGGCTTCCATGACAACCACTCCAAGGAAGAACTCTTGCGGTGGCCATCATCATTTCTGTGCTCTTTGGAGTAAGCTGCTTTGGGAATTGTTCGGGGCACTTGACCATTTTCCCCTGCCTGGGATGACCTTGCAGCTCTGAGGTCCCTGCCCCCACCCTCAGTCTTGTCCTGTCCCCTTCCTTCATTTCCCCGGGGACACCGAGTGCCCTGAGGCGCAGACAGAGCCTAGGTTAGCTTTTTGTTTGTTTGTCCAATGCTGTGACGACGCACTTAACAAAAGCAACTTAAGGAAACACGGCTTCTTCTGGCTCGTAGTTTGAGTGTGCAGTCCGCCCATCACGGCAGGGAAGGTGTGATGGCAGCTGTCACATCGTAATGGCAGTGGGAAGCAGAGAGAGGTGGCTGGTGGTGCTCAACTTGCTTTCTTTCTGTTAATTTTGACCTGCCAGTCCAGGGAGTGACGCTGCACACACTCAGGGTGGATCTCCTCTCCTTAGTTTAAGTGCACTGGGAACGCTCTGCTAGACACGCCCTTGAGCGGCCTCCTAGGCAATTCCGAATCAAGCGTGACCATCATGCAGTCTTTTCTCTCTCCACATTTAGCCACCCATGTGGCTTTAGTCATCACCCTCTTACACGCCATGTCCAGCCATACTTCTCTGCATGCTCTGAAAGACACATCCAACACATCCTGAGAGACACATCAGGACTCCCCGGCTGGAGTTTTCAACTCAGCCATGAACCCAGGATGATACACTTATGTGTTTACTTTAGAGATTCCAATGCCCAGGGGCTGGAGAGTCAGCTCAGCAGTTAAGAGCACTGGCTTCTCTTGCAGAGGACTTGGGTCCCAGTACCCTTATGGCAGCTCACAACCACTTGTAATTCCAGTCCTAGGGGATCTAACACCCTCTTCTGGCCTCCATAGGCAACACACACACACACACACATACACAACACACTCATACACACACACAACACACTCACTCACACACACACACTCATACACGCTCACACACACTCATACACAAACACACACACTCATACACACATCAACACACTCATACATGCACACTCACACACACACACTCACACACTCACTCACACTCATACACACACTCACTCATACATACACACTCATACACACTCACACACAAACACACACACTCATGCACACATTCACACACACACTCACACACACATACATACACTCTCTCACACACTCATACATACTCTCACACACACTCATACACATACACACATTCACACACTCATACATGCACACTCATACACACACTCTCACACACTCACACACTCACTCACACTCATACACTCACTCATACATACACACTCATACACACTCACACACAAACACACTCATGCACACACTCACACACTCACACACACACTCATACACACATACACACACACTCATACATACACACTCACACACTCATACATACTCTCACACACACTCATACACACACACAGAACACTTATACACACAAATAAAAATAAAAAATATCCATGTCCATAGATGACAACAGTGTGTAATTTTAGCTTTAAGATGGCGCATTGTTTAATGTAACATTTAGATTACCATGCCTCGTGTATGTTTATCTTGCTCCATTATAGTAACTAATGCTCACGCCTGAAAATTCGCCTCGTGTGATGTCTCTGTGCTTGAGATGCCAGTCTTGGGTCATGTGCGGTCTTCCTCTCAGAGTTGCTATGGGCAGAGAGGCTGCACATCACGGAGCTCTCATGCGTAGCCTGTAAGACAGACAGCTGTCTGTGAGATACTGTGGGGCAGCCCACGCTCCTAACATGGCTTTGTTTGTGTCCCCACCGGGCGACTGCCTCCAGGGTAACCGGGACCCTTTCATTCTGCCGTGTTTCCCATGTCCTCCAAATCCCTGTTGGATTTTGTCGTCTTGTGGCTGTCCGCTGAATGGCTTCTAACTGAAAGTAAACGTTTGTATGGCATTGTTCCTCACCTGGTGCTGGTTTGTCACCAACTGCTCAGTTCTCACTGTGCTAATGTGTACCGCACTCTTCATCAAGGGGACACGTGGGACAGTTCCCCAGAGGGCATGAATTAACAGTCATCTGGCCAGCGCTGGACCCTTCTCTGCTCTGTTTTGGTTGCTGTAGGTTGATCAACACAGAGGCTGCTCCCTTTACAGAGTCAGTCTACACTCAGGGGGAAGCATTAGCCTCTGGCCCGAGACTGTGAGCCTTAGGAGCTGCTAAGGGAGAGGTGGATTTATTCTGCCCTGGGATCGCTGTTTTCACAGGGGGGATCCTGGATAGATCTAGAATGTGCACACATTCCTTCCTTGCAAGGAGACGGGGGCTCTTGAACAACACAGGGCTCACTGGTCCAAGTGTCCACAGCAGTCAATGCACTGCCCATGGCCCATTGACTGACGCGCCCCCCCCCCCCGTCTACCCCCCCCACGGGTCCTTTGCCGATGTCAGTTTCTCCTTTCCTGTGGGTCCCTCAGGATGGATGTGAACTGACATCTCCCTGCTGTTATTTCTTTTTCTCTGAGCACTACAGTCAAGCACATCTATAGGTAACTGCCAGTTGGGCCAGGAAGATGGGTTAGCGGGTGAAGGCACTTGCTG